ATTTTTACTTCAACTTAGGTGACGCTATTTTTCGGACATGACACAAATTCCGGGTTTTTTAATGATTTAGTCGTCGAACGTCTACAATATGCACATTTTCTGCAGGTAAATTTTACTCTGACCATTACATTTGAGTATCTTTACCATTCACTGTGAAAACGTATTAAAATCCTGAAGAAGAATGCATTCAAAAGAAGTCATCAGTTTGGTCCAAAAGAAGAGAGAAGACGGGCTCAGCATCCGAAAGATCGCCGCTGAGATGAAGCTACCGAAGTCAACAGTTGAATGCATGTTAAGTACAGACTATGAGCGGAAGAAGAAGAAAAAGAGAGAACGGAAAAAACAATTTCCAAGAGAACAGAAAGAAGAATGAAGAGGAGTGTTACGAGGTTGTTATCATCTGGAGAAAAGGTGACAGCGAAGAAAGTAAAGGAGAAGTGTGAACTTGACATCAGTGTTCGAACTGTACAAAGAAAGCTACACGAAATTGGACTTAAGTATGCTAAAATCAAGAAAAGAATTACACTAACGAGAAAACACAAGGAGGCAAGGCTGGGAAGCGCCAAAAGATGGATACAAACCATGTCGACTTCAAGAAAGTGATATTTACTGATGAAAAACGTTTTAAGTTCGATGGACCTGACGGGTAGTGTACATGGTCGAGAAAAGGTGAACCTGTTATACTCAACAAGAGACAGGTGGGAGGAGGAGGAGTCGTGGTTTGGGGTATGGTATTACCGAATGGAAACTTGTGGCTCGAGTGGTTAAAAGGACGTCAAAATAGCTTGAGCTACAGAAAAGTTTTGGAAAAGAGAACCTTACCACTCATAGAAAAAGAAATGGTAGTAATTTTATTTGGCAGCAAGATAACTGCAACACCCATGTGGCCAAATCAGTGAAAAATCGGATGTGTGAAGCAAATATAACTACTCTGGAATGGCCTGCAAGAAGTCCAGACTTAAATTTAATTGAAAACATATGGGAAATGCTTGCAGAGCTTGTTTACGACGGGCCAGAAATAACCAGAGAGGCTGAACTGTGGCAGCGCATGCAAGATGTTAAAAATAGACTGCTAGAAACATGAAGAGACGTTATTATCAATATGTACGAACATTATGAAGTCATTGAAGAAAAGGGTGCTGCCATAAACTATTAGCATTGTTTCTGCAATGTCCGAAAAATACTGTCGCCTGTGTAATGTGAAAATTTGTGAAAAAAATAAAAATACTTCTAATTTGAATTCTGCCTTTCCATTTGTAGTATTGAAACAGTTTTTAAATGTTATTGCCATTACACTAAAACAGTACAGACTGCCTGTGCTACCTAAAACTTGAAAAAATTAAAGTGTCTGAAAAATAGTGTCGGCCCCCTATAGTTGGGATGTGACAGAATTTGGTGCTTGATGAAGATAAACAATTTAAGCTGAAGGATATAGTTTTAGGAGAGCCCTGAATTAATGTGAAATAATCTAGAAGCATTATATATAGTCGAACAAATATCCTCAAAATTGCTGTTTTTATTACTGTATCAATACGAATTCTCACACATCTTTTGAAAATAAGTAGATAGATTTCTTTTCTTTTAAGTCCACTTAGTTATCACATTTCATCAGACTTTGAAATCCAAAAGCTTTTTGATTTGAAAGTCTGTTGAATTGGAGCCGTTTCTACGACCCTAATGAAATAAATATAACCTCATTAAATTTTAAGAGATCATGCCTTTTAATAATAATTATTGCTCTGCCTCTGACATAGAGCTCTCCCTGGATTTACATCCTTTGGAAATATCCATACTGATCTCTATCATCATCATCATATATATATATATATATATATATATATATATATATATATATATATATATATATTGTAAGTAAGTATTCCACTGTCGGAATATTGGCGACTAAACTGGCTACCCCACTCCATGTTCTTAGCGAGTGAAGCGGGTTGTTAGCAAACCAATAAAACAAAGGGCGGAAGAACTCTTGATGAGTCAACGGACAGCTTACTAGAGATATTTCTCCATAAGCCACTGTGGAGACGACAACGGGAAACTACTCACCTATTAATCCCAAGAGACATCATGGCGAATAACACACACATTATGAAACCTCACGACATGAAGGGGGTTAAGACTATGGGAATTAACTCTTCGCCCAGTAAGGACCGACATAGGCGATAGGTGTCTCCGGGCAATCATCCAGCGTCTGCTCGCATCAAGCAAAAAATAACTCTGGAGACAAGGAACATTAGGACGTTGAACAACTGTGACCAGTTGGAAAATGTAAGGAGATAAGTAGGCTAAATATCAGTATCTTAGGTTTTATGTGAAACTAGGTGGCCAAAAACGAACTGGTGCAATCAATAATATAGTTCGCCCGAACATCTGCCAGGAAAATGGCAGTAGAGCGGTGAGAGACTAACAACGTTCGTATGTGAGAAAGGGGTTAAAATGAGGAAGACATTTCATTACCCACATGGGTGGGCAAACGCTTTGGAACACTACCGAGTATAGAAAGTAAGGATTGGGCCGCTCCATCTCATATATAACTGCAATAGTCCATTTTTGGTCATGTGTCTTTTGTAGAGATAGAGCATGGCAGGTGTCGGGTACAAAAGAGTCAGGGGCGGGACAAGGAATAGACCCATTTTACGGCATCTTATTCAAAGGATCGTATAATATAACGTTCCATGTAAGGATCCTTATTGAAACTAAAACCGTTTATCGTAACTGGATAAAACTCTGCTCAACATCTTATTCGATGGATCGTATATATATGTTCCACTATAGGTCTTCTGTGTGCTTGAGCCCCAGTAGACGTTCCATGCATGGATCCTTATGGTCTGCGTAAATATTTACTAGTTAGTCATTCAATGACCGTCAACTATATGTAGTCCTTGCGCATTTTATTGGGGATTAACTTTCGTAAAAAAAAATCTTATAGACTCTGCATTTTGGCCGTGTATACTAGGGTAGGTAGATTTCGAAACCGTGATATTGCACTCAACATTTAAGAAGGAGTTTGATATGATTAATAATGACGTTTAGGTTTAAAATCATCGCGTTGGAATTTCATTTCAATGATCAGTGCAAGCATTATAGCAAAGACTTAAAAAATTTATAATTTAGGTCAACCCAGTGTGGTGTAATGGTTAGCAAGCTTGTCTTGCTAAAAAAAAACAGTTACGACTAAATAGAGAGTTTAATCCTCAATAGGTGCCCCATACTTTCGGCCTTGTGCCACTTCTAAGCTACACTTAGAAAATCATTTTTAGGGCGCCTCAAGGTGGTGCAATGGTTAGCAAGCTTGTCTTGCTAGAACGATTACAACTAAGTAGTGAGTTCGATCCTCACTGGGTGCCCTATGCTTTCGGCCTTGTGTCACATCTATGCTATGCTTGGAAAATCACTATGAAATTTATAATTTACTGAATCTTTACAAATTGAATATGGACAAGATACACGGCACAAGCACGTTATTATTAAATCATTGTACCAACAAATAAGACCTTCATTTACTTCAAAGGGAAATTATACTGAATAGTTTAGCTACATTTTGATATAATATTATATAGAGTGCATAGCTCTGTGATTTTCGATAAACAATGCAAATTTAAATCATTTTGTGTTATAATGTGTGCCAAGCGGCATTATGGTCTTATATACACTTTTATTTATTTATTTTTTGTTTTTATTAATTCTGACCTAACAAATTTAATTCATTGAGTAGCCTTTCTTGTAATCTTATATATATATATATATATATATATATATATATATATATATATACAGGGGTTGGACAAAATAATTGGAACATTTGTTAAATTCAAAGAAAATTTATTTAATATGGAGTTGGTCCTCCTTTAGCCTCACAGACAGCTTTAATATGTCTAGGAATGGAATCATACAGCTTCCTAACTTCATCCAGAGGAATTTTCAGTCATTTTTCCATTAAAACCTTCTCCAGCTCTTTACGACACGACGGTGGAGGATAGCGGTAACGAAGAGATTCCAAATCAGACTCAACTTGGTTACCGAGGCCCATTTGGTACAGTTGGTATGTTGTTCGCTTGACACCCCAACTGTCAGGGTTTCGATACTTGGTGGTGGATGCGCACTGCTGATGAGTCCCAATTATAGGACGAAACGGCCGTCCAGTGCTTCCTCTATTCCTGTTGAGGTTTCTATCAGACTCAATGAATTAATTAAATATAATTATCAAATCCTCCTACTAATTAATATATATATATATATATATATATATACTCGTGTGTGAGAGATAAGGGTGTGATGAGCCGTTGGATGTGTGTATGTATGTGTGTGACGTATCGCGGAGCCTGTACGCAGCCCACTCGAGAAGGAACGTGCACTTATTTTTTTACGTATTTTGCCGAAATCAATGTTGATCTGTTAGCCTCCGTGTGTCCGATATCCCACTAACTCTATCACCGTCAGTGTTCTGTCAATGAGCCAGCTGCTCAAAAATAAATGCTTTTTATGTTGAAAAAGATTGGTTTAAATGAAGCACTGCGGCCCAAGAAGAACACTGACAGGGGACAGATTTGGATGAGACCATCACCAACGCCGCCATCTTCAAACTAGTACCATCCCTACAACCATCCCTACCACCATGGTATTTGCAGCCGTCTACTCAGTCGCCGTCTTCAACTTCCTGTTGTTACATTTCCCCGTCTGATCATTGATTAGCATTGATTAGCGAGTGAAAGAAAATGTGTTTCTTTATAGAACGAATATCATTGGAGAGGGATTGATTATGAGACAAGGAAAGACAAGAAGAGGACAACAAAGATGAGAGAGAGAGAGAGATAGCAGTTAGTAGTGGGTAGTGAGAGGAGGAAAAAGAGAAAGATAGAAGAACAGAGAAAGAGAGGGAAGTGAAATGAGAGAATGTTACAGAAAGAAAGAGCGGGAAGTAAGCCTAGTGGGCGGAGGAAAGCGAAAAAGGGATCGAGAAAACAAAAGATAAACGATAACAAAAA